GTGTGTGTGTGTGTGTGTGTATGTAAATTTATTATGTTACAGTGGGGCTAAAGAAGTAATTAAAACTGACAAATAATTGTGTCTCAATGTGTGAAATGTCCTTTAATGTGGTATATAAAATGCTTTCACAAACACCATTTAATGTGGTTTATAAAATGCTTTCACAAACACCATTTAATGTGGTGTATAAAATGCTTTCACAAACACCATCTCCCTTAGGTTATGAATATGGCTCTTCTATTATTTCTTTAGGAGCAGGAATCTTTTCTTATTGATTTCACAATTCTTATTGCTTAGCTCAGGCTCTGACATCAATAGGCCCTCACTAGTTGCTTAATGAATGAAATATGGAATGGGACACTCAGGAATAAAGCAGAACATTATTAAAGACTGACTGAAGGAGACTGAGCCTCCTTCATAGTAAAGCATAGAAGCAAAAACTAAGGAACTGTACTCTACACATATACACACACACAGCCATTAAGCCCTTGAGCATTTAAGATGTGGTTCCCAAGGGCTAATACAACTAGGTTTTTTTTTTTTTTTTATTTTGAGACGGAGTTTCGCTCTTGTACCCAGGCTGGAGTGCAATGGCGCGATCTCGGCTCACCGCAACCTCCACCTCCTGGGTTCAGGCAATTCTCCTGCCTCAGCCTCCTGAGTAGCTGGGATTACAGGCACGCACCACCATGCCCAGCTAATTTTTTGTATTTTTAGTAGAGACGGGGTTTCACCATGTTGACCAGGATGGTCTCGATCTCTTGACCTCGTGATCCACCCGCCTCGGCCTCCCAAAGTGCTGGGATTACAGGCGTGAGCCACCGCGCCCGGCCTACAACTAGGTTATTAAAGCAGGCTGCCTTGGACATACCCATAGGACAATGTCATCCCTATGGTATTAGCCTGAATGGTAAGAAGAAGGAAGCAAATTGTATTTGCAGTAGCTAGAAGTATGAGTTGGCAGTCAAAGTAATTAATCAGTGACCTGGTTCTCATGATAAATATTTAGAATATCTAATTAAGATGAGTAATTATCTATGAAATGGGAATAATGATACAACCTTGGTGTTGTGAAGAATAAATGAGATTCAAGTAAATTCTTTAACATAAGTGCTTTAAGTTGTGCATTGTTTCTGTGGAGTTTCTTTCACATCTTCTTTTAGAGCTAGAGGTTTTATTTCTTTTTCTGGAAATGTATCTTTGGCATCTCCAATTTCTTTTTTGTATTTGTCAACAGCTTGTCAGAAATTCAGCTGTAAAATAGCTGATATTTCAATGGAAGTAAGTGCATGCTGTTATTTTTGGAAATTTTTGAAGGCAAAAGTGTTAAAAATTTTTTATTTTTTCATTATGTTCTAACTATTTACATATCAAATTGGATAATTTTACTAGAATAATTTACAAGTTCTAGATACACTTACTGTTCTAATTTTTTTATCTATTAGTTTGTCAATAACAATAAACATACATAGAAAATATTTTTCAAATAATTCCTAAACATTTCTAAAAATAGCTAGAATTTAGCCAGAGACAAACTTCAAACTTAGAAAGGTTTCTGAGGTAATACATATAGTTTTATTTAAATTGCCAGATTAGGACACACTTTTTTTTTTTTTTTGAGACAGGGTGTCGCTCTGGAATTCTTGCCCAGGCTGGAATGCAATGGCATGATCTGATCTCAGCTCATTGCCACCTCCCCTTCTCTGGCTCAAGCAATCCCCCCACCTCAGTCTCCCTAGTAACTGGGACTACAGGTGCCTGTCTCCATGCCCGGCTAATCTTTCATATTTTTTTGTAGAGACGGGGTTTTGTAGAGATGATTCACCTACCTCAGCCTCCCAAAATGCTGAGATTACAGACCTGAGCAACTACACCTTTAATTTTATGCTTTGGCTGGATGTGGTGCTTGTAATCCCAACACTCTGGGAGGCCAAGTTGGGAGGAGAATTACTTGAGCCTAAGAGTTCAAGACTAGTCTGGGCAACATAGTGAAAGCCCATCTCTCTATAAAAAAAAAAAAAAAAAAAGTTAAAAAATTTTTACATAGAAAAACATAATAAGGATATAAAGAAAGAAAATATATTTATACAGCTGTAAAATGTTTGTGTTTTAAGCTGTCATTACAAAAGTCAAAAAGTTTTTAAAAATTTAAAAGCTTATAAAGAAGTTACAGTAAACTAAGTTAAATATGTATTTTTAAATTTTTATTATTTTTAAAGAGACAGGGCCTCACTTTGTCTCCTAGGCTGGAGTACAGTGGCATGATCATAGCTCACTGCAACCTTGACCTCTTGGGATCAAGTGACCCTCCTGCCTCAGTATCCCTAGTAGCTAGAACTACAGGGATGTGCCACTTTACCTTGCTAATTTTTGATTTTTTTTGTAAAGATGAGATCTCTTCATGTTGCCCAACTTGTCTCCAATTCCTGCAACTCAAGCAATCTTCCTGGCTCGGCCTCCCAAAGTGCTGGGATTACAGGTACTTGGGAGGCTGAGGCAGGAGAATCACTTGAACCAGGGAGTTGGAGGTTGCAGTGAGCCCATATCGAGCCATTGCACTCCAGCCTGGCAACAGAGTAAAACTCCGTCTCAAAGTAATCCTAGCACTTTAGGAGGCTGGGGCAGGCAGATCACCTAGGGTCAGGAGTTAGAGACCAGCCTGACCTCATGGCGAAACCCCATCTCTACTAAAAAATACAAAAATTAGCTGGGCATGTTGGCAGGTACCTGTAATCCCAGCTACTCAAGAGGCTGAGGCAGGAGAATTGCTTGAACCCAGGAGGTAGAGGTTGCAGTGAGCTGAGATTGTGCCACTGCTCTCCAGCCTGGGTGACAAAAGCAAAACTCTGACTCAAAAAAATAAAATGAAATAAAATAAATGAAAGAATGTTCAGCATTTATTAGATTAAATTCCTGCTGTAATTCATTATATTGACTTTGAATAAATTCATGCCAAGAATGTTGTCTTGTAGATAACTGGTTATGGAAAGGAGGCAACATGACCTCTTTTATTCTCAGTTCGCTTAGAATATTTTCATGTGAATAAGTCATACTAGGTGGTGGTATTAAGGAGATATTTTAGTATTGTGGGATTTTTTGGATTTGTAACTCTTGAATTGTTACATCTGATGCATGTAACCTAAATGTATACATAAGTGTCACAATGTCATTCTTCTTTTATTTCTTCAGTGCGGTTAAAATCGGAACTGATATGCTAGAATTGGACTGCCATATCACAAAAGATGAAGAAGTTGTAGTGTCACATGATGAGAATCTAAAGAGAGCAACTGGCGTCAATGTAAACATCTCTGATCTCAAATACTGTGTAAGTAAAAATGCATGAAAAATTAATATCTAATAGATATCATGGCCTGTAAGATTTTTTAAAAATAGTGAATAGCTGACATTGCTTCAGTAAATAATTTCTAAAATTATTTAAATATTGATTAAATATTGAATGTCACAGGAAATTTTAAAAAACTATTTTGGGGCCGGGCATACTGGCTCATGCCTACAATTCCAGCACTTTGGGTTGCTGAGGTGGGAGGATTGTTTGAGGTCAGGAGTTTGAGATCAGGCTAGGTGACATAGCAAGATTCCATCTTTATTTTAAAAATAGGAAAATTGGCTGGGTGTGGTGGCTCACGCCTGTAATCCCAGCACTTTGGAAGGCTGAGGCGGGCGAATCACCTGAGGTCAGAAGTTTGAGATCAGCCTGGCCAACATGGTGAAACCCCGTCTCTACTAAAAATACAAAAATTAGCCAGGTATGATGGCGGGCACCTGTGATCCCAGCTACTCAGGAGGCTGAGGCAGGAGAATCACTTGATCCCAGGAGGCAGAGGTTGCAGTGAGCTGAGATGGTAACACTGCACTCCAGCCTGGGACTGGAGTGGGACTCTGTCTCAGAAAGCGTCAGAGTCCCACTGAAAATTATCCAAAAAGGAAAATTATCCAAGCATAGTGGCACATGCCTATGTTCCCAGCTACTCAGGAGGTCAAGGTGGGAAGATTACTTGATCCTGGGAATTTGAAACTGCAGTGGGCCAAGATTGCACCACTGCACTCCAGCCTGGGTGACAGAGTGAGAGCCTGTGTCAAAAGCAAAATGAAGCCAGATGCAGTGGCTCACACCTGTAAGCCCAGCACTGTGGGAGGCCGAGGCAGGTGGATCACCTGTGGTCAGAAGTTTGAGACCAGCCTGACAAACATGGTGAAACCCCATCTCTACTAAAAATACAAAAATTAGCTTGGTGTGGTGGTGCGCCTATAATCCCAGCTGTTTGGGAGGCTGAGGCAGGAGAATCGCATGAACCCATGAGGCAGAGGTTGCATTGAGCCAAGATCATGCCACTGCACTCCAGCCTGGGCAAGAGTGAAATTCTAACTCAAAAAAAAAGAAAAAAAAATATGATAATTATAATGTACATATTCATCATAGTAAATACTGGTGAATGGAGGGGAAAATCGTGCATAATGTTACCACCAAAAAAAAAAAAAAACACTTATGTTAATAGCCTTCTACCTTATGTATACCTTGTATGTTTTTTAGATTTCTCACTGTGTATCATGTATGTTGAATTTTAGATACTTTAACATGATAATGGCCAGCCTCAGTGGCTCATGCCCGTAACCCTAGCACTTTGGGAGGCTGGGGGCGGGGGCAGATCACCTGAGGTCAGGAGTTCGAGACCAGCCTGGCCAACATGGTGAAACACCATCTCTACCAAAAATACAAAAATTAGCTGGGCATGTTGGTATCAGACTGTAATCCCAGCTACTCTGGAGGCTGAGGCAGGAGGATCGCTTGATCCCAGGAGGTGGAGGTTGCAGTGAGACGAGATGGTGCCATTGCACTTCAGGCTGGGCGAAAAGAGCAAGACTTTGTCTCAAAAAAAAAAAAAAAAAAAGAAACATTATAATATAATAAACATTTTTCCATGCTTTCCATGGCCCAGACTGGAGTGCAGTGGCGCAATCTCAGCTCACTGCAACCTCTGCCTTCCAGGGTCAAGCTATTCTCCTGCTTCAGCCTCCAGTGTAGCTGGGACCACAGGCATGCACCACCATACTCAGCTAATTTTTGTATTTTTAGTAGAGATGGGGTTTCACCATGTTGGCCAGGCTGGTCTTGAACTCCTGACCTGAAGTGATCCACCCACCTCAGCCTCCCAAAGTGTTGGGATTACAGGTATGAGTCACTGCACCCAGGCTTTTCCATGCTTTTAAAAAAATAGACTTTATTTTTTAGAGAAGTTTTGGGTTTCCAGCGAAATCGAGTGGAAAATACAGAGTTCCCACATACTTGCACAGTTACCACACAGACACGGGGTCCCCCACTTTTAACATCTGCATCAGAGTGGTACGTACATTGACACAATATTATCACCCATAGTCCATAGTTTACATTAGAGTTCACTCTTGTACATTCTGTGGTTTTGGACAAATTTATAATGACATGTATCCACAATTATACTATCATACAAAATATTTTCACTGCTCTAAAAATTCTGTGTTCTGCCTATTCAGTCCTCCCTTCCCTCATCCCCTGGCAACCACTGATCTTTTTGCTGTCTCTGTTGTTTTGTTTTTTCCAGAATGTCATGTAGTTGGAATCATACAATATTTGGCCTTTCAGATTCCATGCTTATCTGCCATTAACATTTCAAATGACTGTAGTTATTCCATTGTGTGAATATATAGTTATTTTTAAATGATTCTTCTATTGTTGGGCGTTGGATTAGCTCACTGTTTTAGATAACACTGCAGTAAACAGTTTTTTTTGTTTTTTGTTTTTTTATGTATGTATATATATTTTTTTAAGAGACGGGGTTTCACCATGTTGGCCAGGCTGGTCTCGAACTCCTGACCTAAGGTGATCCGCCCACCTCAGCCTCCCAAAGTGCTAGGATTACAGGCGTGAGCCACCGCGCCTGGCCTTTTTTGTTTTTTTGAGACAGAGTTTCACTCTTGTTGCCCAGGCTAGAGTGCAATGACGCAATTTTGGTTCACTGCAACCTCTTCCTCCTGGGTTCAAGCAATTCTACTGCTTCAGCCTCTCAAGTAGCTGAGATTTCAGGCATTTGCCACCACACCCAGCTAATTTTTTGTATTTAGTAGAGATAGGGTTTCGCCATATTGGTCAGGCTGGTCATGAACTCCTGACCTCAGGTGATCCACCTCCCTCAGCCTCCCAAAGTGTTGAGAGTACAGGCGTGAGCCACCGTGCCCGGCCTGCACTGAACAGCTTTATGCATAAAGACAAAGCTTCGTCTCCCCGGTGGGGATGTGTGTAAAAAAAATAAGAAAGAAAAAAAAAAGACAAACCTTCGTCTATCTTTAGCTTTTTATATAGTTATTTATAAAGATATACAAATATTTAGATTTATAAAAGTTATTTATATAAAGTTTTCTCTATTTTAAGATTATTTCTCTAAATATACTCCCAGAAGGAAAATTATTGAGTAAAAGGACATTTGCCAGCTGAGTGTGGTGGCTCATGCCTGTAGTCCCAGTCCTTCTGAGGATCCATTGAGCTCAGAAGAGCAAGGCTACAGTGAGGTATAATCGTGCTACTGCACTCCAGCCTAGGCAATAGAATGAGACCCTGTCTCAAAAAAAAAAAAAAAAAAAAAAGAGAAAATAAAATAAAAATAATATTTACTAGTATTGAGCATTTTAATTATACCAAAATTTACTAGATTAAATTTTAATTAACACTTTATTGGTTATTAAGAAGTTTAAATATCTGTTTAGTTGTTCATTATTTTTCTTTACATTGAATTGTATATTCCTGATATTTCTACTGAAATCTTTGTATATTATTGTGAAAAGGTGTATATCAAGTAGTACAGATATCTTTTTTTATAGATGGCATAAGTAAGTAATACGGTTAATTTGCTGTTGGGGATGTTCTGCTGATGGGCACCTATGTAAACATGTTTCCTAGTGTTTTACTCTTTATGTTGAAGAAGGACATCTTTATGTCTGCATGCAAGACATTAGAATCTTATTATTTTTTGAAAGGTAACTTTTTTTTCAATCATATCTTTTAAAGGAGCTCCCACCTTACCTTGGCAAACTGGATGTTTCATTTCAAAGAGGTAATATTTCTTATTTGTGGCTTAAACATTTATATTTTTTACATTTACATATGTGTGTTTCTTGTCATAGTACATTCTTCCTGAAAGCAACTGACCTCGAAGCCTGTTCTCTCAGGTCTGTAAATCTGAAGCCTTGAAGATTATCTGATGTGAAATTATCAGGTCCAAAGATTTAACCAATTCATTCTACTTAAATTCACATACAGTTAATTTAAACCTGAATACTGATTTCAAGAAACATTTCACTTCTAAAGCTTCAAATTGTAGAATACTGTTGCAACTTATAGTAGCCATCCATCAAAAAGTACAAAAATAAATAAATGAAAAGGGCTGGGCACTGTGGCTCATGACTGTAATCCCAACACTGTGAGAGGCTGAGGTAGGCAGATCACTTTAGGTCAGGAGTTCGAGATAAGCCTGGCTAACATGGTGAAACCCTATCTGTACTAAAAATACAAAAAAAATTAGCCAGGCATGGTGGTGCACACCTGTAGTCCTACCTACTTGGGAGGCTGAGGCAGGAGAATCACTTGAACCTGGGAGGTGGAGGTTGCAGGGAGCCAAGATTGCACCAGTGCACTCCAGCCTGGGCAACAGAGCAAGATTCTATCTCATAATAAATAAATAAATAAATTAATTAAATAAAAATAAATGAAAAGAATGGAAAGGATCCCTTTCAAATCCTTTCTGGTTCCATAATATTTAATTCTGTCTTTTACCTGCTCCCTATTTTAAATGATTAAATAGGGATTCTTTCTTTCAAATAAACCATTTCCTAGCCATCTTCACTTAGCAGTTTTCTTCTGAGGGAACATTTCTCACAAAGAATCATGTCCCTTGACCCAACTTGTTAGTTACTACAGATGTTAGAATGGAAAATATACCACCTTAAAGTGTGTGCTGAACAGATATATCTTTGCCCCCTCATTGTCACAAGTCAGCCTCACATTTTGGAATGATTCAAATGTATAACTCATATAAATAAAACCATAAGATGCTACATATCTTATGTTGTGACTATATCATGAATCTCCGTATCATGTATGATTTGCAATTATTATCAGTGGAGCTGACAATTAATGAAAGTTCAAACCTTCACTAAATGTCAGCTCCACTGATAATAATTTTTTAAAAGAACTGTAACTGTTCTATGAACTAGATTTAAAATGGGCCAAGCCAGGTGTGGATGTACACCTATATTCTCAGCTACTTGGGAGACTGAGTTGGGAGGCCCGTTTGAGTCCAAGAGTTGGAGTCTAGCTTGGGCTACATAGCAAGACCTTGTTCTCTTTAAAAAAAAAAAAAAAAAAATTGACCACTGTTAGGGAAATTTTGGAAAACCAAATAAAAATCAGAAAAAATTTAACATTAGCTATTTCTAAGGGATATTTAAATCTCAGATATGTTTGATTTCAATTTCCAAGTAAGTCGAAGTTGTTGGTGTGAGGAAACTTTTCTCATTCTTGTAATTTATAGGATTATACTTGCCAAGCTACTGTAATATTTGTGTCAATTTTGAACTTGTGAAAATTAAAAGAATTTCAGAAATTAAGTTTTTTCTATTTTTCCCTTTGTAGAGCAAAGCCAAAGAAAGCCCCACAAAAATTAAAAGATCCAGCAGATGTGGTGGCTCACACCAATAATCTCAGCACTTTGAGATGCCAAGGTGGGAGGGTTTAGCAAGACCTCATCTCTAAAAATATTAGCCTGGCATGTGCCTACAGTCCTAGCTATTTAAGACACTTGAGGTGTGAGGATCCTTTGAGCCCAAGAGTTCAAGGCTGCAGTGAGCTATGATCATATCACTATGCTCCAGCCTGGGAGACAGAGTGAGACCTTGTCCCCCCCAAAATAATCCTTTGAGGGAAATAAAAAATTTTAATTTTTTTCCTGGTGTGTGTATCACTCATAAAGTCATGAAACTATTTGCCTAGGCTGGAGTGAAGTGGCTCAATCTCAGCTCACTGCAACCTCTGCCTCCCGGGTTCAAGGGATTCTTATGCTTTAGCCACCTAAATAGCTGGGATTACAGGCGCCAGCCACCACACAGCTACTTTTTGTATTTTCAGTAGAGATGGAGTTTCACCACGTTGGCCAGACTGGTCTTGAACTTTGGGCCTCAACTGATCTGCCCAACCCACCTTGGCATTTCAAAGTGTTGGGATTACAGGCGTGAGCCACCACACCTGGCCAATTTTTGAACGTGAAGAGACCTTTGAGACTGTCTAATCTCATTTTCTGTTATAGACAAGGAAACTGAAGTCTAAAGATGCAAATTGACCTAACGAAATTCATATAACAAGGAAATAACAATGCTAGAACTTGAACTAGATCTCTATCTTACCAGACCAGTGTTCAGCTGTACCATACTGCCTCTCCACTGGGACACTATTCTCAACTGCTGTATTAAAAACAATGCTGGCCGGGCTCAATGGCTCACGCCTGTAATCCCAGCACTTTGGGAGGCTGAGGCAGGTGGATCACGAGGTCAGGAGTTTGAGAGCAGCCTGGCCAATATGGTGAAACCCCATCTCTACCAAAAATACAAAAAAAAAAAAAAAAAAAAAATTAGCTGGATGTAGTGGTGCCCACCAGCTACTTGGGAGAATGAGGCAGGAGAATCGCTGAACCCAGAAGGCAGAGGTTGTAGTGAGCTGAGATCAGGTCACTGCACTCTAGCCCAGGCGGCAGAGCAAGACTCCATCTTGGGGGGGAAAAAGAAAGAACAATGCTGTGGACGGGATGCAGGGCTCACGCCTGTAGCTCACTGCCAGCTACTTTGGGAGGCTGAGGCAGGTGGATCACCTGAGGTCAGGAGTTCGAGATCAGCGTGGCCCACATGGTGAAACCCCATCTCTACTAAAAATACAAAAATTAGCTGGACATGGTGCATGCGCCTGTTATCCCAGATACTTGGGAGGCTGAGGCAGGAGAATAACTTGATCCTGGGAGGTAGAGACTGCAGTGAGCCAAGAACATGCCACTGCATTTCAGTCTGGGCAGCAAAGCGAGACTTCTCTCTCAAAAAAAAAAAAAAGAAGTGTTAACCAAAGGGTCTGTTATTATCTATCCTGATTATTTGAAAGTAATCTATTTGTTTTTCATGGAAGTAACCTATTTGTTTGTCATGAAAAATATATAATTTGTATAATCTAGAGTTGACTATAATTATCGTTTTTTTGTTTTTGTTTTTGTTTTTCAAGACGGTGTTTCACCATGTTGGTCAGGCTGGTCTTGAACTCCTGACCTAAGGTGATCCGCCCGCCTTGGCCTCCAAAGTGCTTGGATTACAGATAATTATACGCCCAGCCTATAATTATCGTTTTAAAGTTCCCTGAATAGTGAAAACTATTTAAATAGTGGCCCCTAACTTTTATACTGGCCACTATTACATCAAACAACACATCCTGTGGCATACTCCTTGTTTATCTTTTCTGTTTCCTGTTATTTCCCTCTTTTCTTTTTGTAGTCCACCATTTTCTAACTGGTTATCATCTGCCTAGAAAAATACTGGGGCAAACTTCTCTTTTTCCAACTGTGGTTATCTCAAAATAAAAAATTAATTAAAAACAAATCATAATCCAGGCCGGTCGTGGTGGCTCACACCTGTAATCCAGGCACTTTGGAGGCCAAAGTGGGTGGATCACCAACATAGTGAAACCCCATCTTAAAAAAAAAACAAATCATAATCATAAGCACAGCAAAACAACAGGAAAATATTTTATGTGAAAATATCAGGTTAAACTCTGTAGCACATCATATTATTACTATATTAAATCATGCATAGGAAAAAAGAGTAGAGAAAGTATACCAAGTGGTCATAGTGTTTATATCTAAGTTGTTGGATTTACGTGATTTTTTTCTTCTTTATATTTTTCCTTATTTTGTAAATGTCCTTTAATGAATACATACTATAACTTTTCTAGTTATCAAAAAGCAAAAGTTATATTTAAAAAATACATTTAAAATTCTTGCTTTCTCAGCATGCCAATGTGAAGGAAAAGATAACCGAATTCCATTACTGAAGGAAGTTTTTGAGGCCTTTCCTAACACTCCCATTAACATCGATATCAAAGTCAACAACAATGTGCTGATTAAGAAGGTACTCAAGGCATTGCCTCTTCTGGGTGTGTTATATCCTATTTCATGAAGTAAATAAGGCTAGAGTAGGTGACTGCTTAGATTGATAATGCTCAAGGAAATGTGATACCCTAGGGATCAGCATTGTTTTAAATAATGCCCTAGTAGAAGAGATAATTTTTTTTTTTTGTTTTTTTTTTTTTAGTAGAGACGGGGTTTCACCGCGTTGACCAGGATGGTCTCGATCTCTTGACCTCGTGATCCACCCGCCTCGGCCTCCAAAAGTGCTGGGATTACGGGCTTCAGCCACCGCGCCCGGCCAGAAGAGATAATTTTACTGTAGGAGAGCCTATTTTCAGAGAGAGCTGTCATGTCTCAGTCATAGATAAAATAAGCTTGTATGAACCAGTCATTCTGGCATTTACATAATTAACTTCTAGTCTGACTTGTTTCATTTGTGATTAGTTTATGTCAAATTACTAAATAACAGTAATCTGTTAAATAAATTATATGATGGCATAATGTGAATAAATTTTGCATTTTATAAAATAATTAAATTTATCTATTGATTCTTCCAAAATGTTATGCTGTTCATTGACAGATAGTCAATTCTAATTCATTTTTTAAGTGAAATGTTGTTAGTGGATTTGCAGATAGGCACATGATTAAAATTTTGAATTTTCACACGTAGGTTTCAGAGTTGGTGAAGCAGTATAATCGTGAACACATAACAGTGTGGGGTAATGCCAATTATGAAATTGTAGAAAAGTGCTACAAAGAGGTAAGCTTCAAAAATGATACAGAATTATCTATCTTTGTTGTTGTGTGTCTATAAATGATAAGTTATTATGGCAACACTTTTTGTTTTCTTATTTTTAAAGATAGGGTCTCACTTTATCACCCAGGCTGGAGTGCAGTGGTGCAATTATAGCTTACTGCAACCTCAAACTCCTGGGCTCAATCAATCCTCCTGCCTCAGCCTCCCAAGTAGCTGGGGCTACAAGCACCCAGCTAATTTTTAAATCTTTAGTAGAGATGAGGTCTCACTATGTTGCCCACTCTGGTCTCAAACTCTTGGACTCAAGCAATCCTCCTGCCTTGGCCTCCCAAAGTGCTGGAATTACAGGAGTGAGCCACTGTGCCGGGGTCCTATTACAATAATAATTTTTTAAACTTATCTTATTTCAGCTGGGCACTGTGGCTCACACCTGTAAGCACTTTGGGAGGCTGAGGCAGGTGAATCACGAGGTCAGGAGTTCAAGATCAGCCTGGCCAACATGGTGAAACCCCATCTTGACTAAAAAATGCAAAAATTAGCCGGGCATGGTGGCACATGCCTATAATCCCAGCTACTTGGGAGGCTGAGGTAGAGAATTGCTTGAACCTGGGAGGCGGACGTTGCAGTGAGCCAAGATCGTGCCACTGCACTCCAGCCTGGGTGACAGAGCGAGACTCCATCTCAAACAAAAAAAAAAAAAACTTACATTATTTCATAGCCTTCATACAAAGGTAGTGGTACTGGGTGAAAGCAACTAGCCAGAAGTTTAATATAGTAGAGATAATGATTGGGACCTAGCAATATAAGTTCAGTGCAGTTGAACTGGTTCACAGAATTATTATGTTTGCATGCTAATGTTAATTGCTTACCAATATTTCATTATGTGTATTATCGGAAAAATATAGTTTCTATCTTTTAATCACTGTCTTGTGTTAGGTAATTGAAATTTTTTTGTGTAATTTTGAGTTAAATTATTTAGCTGGGTACAGTTGCTCATGCCTGTAATCTCAGCATTTTGGGAGGCCAAAGTGGGAGGATTGCTTGAGCCCAAGAGTTTGAGACCAGCCTGGACAACATAGTGAGACCCCTTTCTATTATTATTATTAATTATTTCCAATTTTCTTTTTTTTTTTTGAGACGGAGTTTCACTCTTGTTACCCAGGCTGGAGTGCAATGGCGCGATCTCGGCTCACCGCAACCTCCGCCTCCTGGGTTCAGGCAATTCTCCTGCCACAGCCTCCTGAGTAGCTGGGATTACAGGCCCGCGCCACCATGCCCAGCTAATTTTTTTGTATTTTTAGTAGAGACGGGGTTTCACCGTGTTGACCAGGATGGTCTGCCTCCTGGGTTCAAGCGGTTCTCCTGCCTCAGCCTCTTGAGTAGGTGGGACTGCAGGTGCCCGCCACCACACCCAGCTAGTTTTTGTATTTTTTTTTTTGTTGTGGTTTCGCCATGCTGGCCAGGCTCCAGGCTGGAGTGCAATGGCGCGATCTCGGCTCACCGCAACCTCCGCCTCCTGGGTTCAGGCAATTCTCCTGCCTCAGCCTCCCAAGTAGCTGGGACTACAGGCATGCGCCACCATGCCCAGCTCATTTTTGTATTTTTAGTAGAGACGGGGTTTCACCATGTTGACCAGGATGGTCTTGATCTCTTGACCTCGTGATCCACCCGCCTCGGCCTCCCAAAGTGCTGGGATTACAAGCGTGAGCCACCGCGCCCGGCCTTTTTTCTTTTTTTTTTTTTTAAAGAAAGAATTTATTTAAGGGGTGAGGATTGCTTGAGGCCAGGAATTTGAGACCAGCCTGGGCAGCATAGTAAGACTTCCAATTCTATTAAAAAAAAAAAAAAAAAAGGCTGGGCGCGGTGGCTCACCCCTGTAGTCCCAGCACTGTGGGAGGCTGAGGCAGGCAGATCACCTGAGATCAGGAGTTCAAGACCAGCCTGGCCAACATAGGAAAAAACTAATAAAAATACAAAAAATAGCTGGGCATAGTGGTGTGCTCCTGTAATCCCAGCTTCTAGGGAGGCTGAGGCAGGAGAGTTGCTTGAACCTGGGAAGCAGAGGTTGCAGTGAGCCGAGATCATACCACTGCACTCCAACCTGGGCAACAGAGCTCCATCTCAAGAAAAAAAAAGAGATAAACTATTTAGGGTCAGGCTAAGTGGCTCACACCCCTGTAATCCCAGCACTTTGGGAGGCCAAGGCAGACAGATCACTTGGAGCCCAGGAGTTCGAGACCAGCCTAGGGAACACGAGGAAGCCCTGTCTCTACTAAAGATACAAAAACTAGCTGGGCGTGGTGGTACATGCTTGTAGTCTCAGCTACTTGGGAAGCTGAGGTGGGAGAATGGCTTGATCCTGGTAGACAGAGGTTGCAGTGAGCCGAGATCCTGCCACTGTACTTCAGCCTGGGTGACAGAGCCAGACACTGTCTCCAAAAAAAAAAAAATCCTATTATCCTTCAGGAAAAAAAATAGAAAAAAATTATCTGGTTCCTCAACTTTAGCTTCTTTTTACCCTAACACCCGAAATGGACTTAAGGAAGTTAAGCCAAGATCATGCAAGTTCATGATTATTAAATAAGATGTAAAAGCAGGACCATCTACCCACTGAAAATTTTCTGGTTAAAGAAAATATATCAGCCAGGTGCAGTGGCTCATGCCTGTAATCCCAGCACTTTGGGAGGCTGAGGAGGGTGGATGACCTGAGGTTAGGAGTTTGAGACCAGCCTGGCCAACATGATGAAACCTCATTTCTACTAAAAATATAAAAATTAGCCAGGCATGGTGGCGCATGCCTGTAATCCCAGCAACTCAGGAGGCTGAAGCAGGAGAATGGCTTGAACCAGGGAGGCGGAGGTTGCAATGAGCTGGGATTCCACCACTGCACTCTAGCCTGGGCAACAGAATGAGACTCTGTCTCAAAAAAACAAGTGTATAAAAATTAATTTTATGTGTTTTAAAATGATAGTTAAACCTTCATAAGCAAGTTTACATAAATAATCAGCTAAGAGAATTTAAAATTTAAGATGTTAAAAAATCTTGAGCATTGAAGATGCTGAAATAATCTGTAATAGAGAAGAAATACCATGATATAAGTAGCAATTTTTAAATACAAAGAACTTTTTGGTGGCTGATCTGAGTGTAGTGTGTTTACAATTAATTGATTACAACCAATTACCGATTTCTTTCCTTCTCCATTCCCACTGTTTCATTTGACTAGCCTTAAAAAATAAACAAACAAAACAAAACATCTATTTGGGCAGGCCTTCCTTCCTAGCAGAGAAGGCAAAAACTTGCAAAGTCAGCATCATTACGATTCAGAGTATAATTGAGATTCCCATAAAAGCAAGCAATTTTGTTGTTGTTGTTGTTTTGGAGACTCCAGCCCAGGCTGGAGTGCAGTCGCTTGATCTAGGCTCACTTCAGCCTCCATCTCCTGGGTTCAGACAGTTTTCCTGCCTCAGCCTCCTGACTCGCTGGGATTGCAGGCGTGTGCTGCCATGCCCAGCTAATTTTTGTATTTTTAGTAGCGATGGGGATTCACTGTATTGGCCAGGCTGGTCTCGAACCCCTGACCTCAAGTGATCTGCCTGCCTCGGCCTCCCAAAGTGCTGGGATTACGAGTGTGAGCCACCACGCCTGGCCTAATGCAAGTAGGTTTTATGTGCAGCAGAGCCTGAGAGATCCCAAGGTAACTGTCTATAAAAGGGGAGAAAAGAGGTGATGAAACAGCTTTGTATCTTGACTGGTAGTGGTTACATGAATCTATACGTGGGTTAAAATTGCAAGAACTACACACACACAAACGAATGACAATGTTTAAAAAATAATGAAAATCGAATAAATTATGTAGTCTAATGAACACTAAGATACCAATATCAATTCCAGGTTTTGGTACTATACTAATCAAATGTCACCTTTTGAGGAAGTTGGGCGAAGGCTGCATGGGACTATACTATTTTTGCAACTTTCCATAAGTCTATAATTCTTTCAAAATAAAAGGCTTACTTTTAGCCTGTAATCACAGAATATTTCCCTTGATTCCTATATTTTTCCAGAATCCTCTGGCTTTCTGTCATTTTTGAATTTAAAAACTCTAAAAACCTTTCAGCAGCAATTTCCAAACATCACAGTAAAAATGTGTCAATAGGCTGGGTGTGGTGGCTCACGTCTGTAATCCCAGCATTTTGGGAGGTCGAGGCAGGCAGATCTTGAGGTCAGGAAATTGAGACCATGCTGGCCAACATGGCGAAACCCCGTCTCTACTAAAAATACAAGAATTAGCTGGAAGTGGTGGCATGGGTCTGTAATCCTAGCTACTCCAGAGGCTGAGGAAGGAGAATCGCTTGAACCAGTGAGTCAGAGGTTGCAGTGAGCCCGGATTGCGCCACTACACTCCAGTCTGGCGACAGAGCAAGACTCCGTCTCAACAAAAAAAAAAATGTCTCAGAAAAATTTGTTATTCATGTTACCAACATGCTATATAATTGATATAACTTTTGCACGTTTTTTTGTTTGTTTGTTTGTTTTTGTTTTTGTTTTTTTGAGACAGAGTTTCAAGAAAACTCCAGCCCAGGCTGGAGTACAATGGCATGATCTTGGCTCACTGAAACCTCTGCCTCCTGGGTTCAAGCAATTCTCCTGCCTCAGCCTCCCCAGTAACTGGGATTACAGGCATGTGCCACCACCAGGCCTGGCTAATTTTGTATTTTTAGTAGAGACGGGGTTTCTACCTGTTGGTGAGGTTGCTCTCGAGCTCCTGACCTCAAGTGATCTTCGCAGCTTAGCCTCCCAAAGTGCTGGGATTACAGGCATGAGCCATTGTACCCAGCCTACTTTTGCAATTCTTAAAGTATGATTTATAAGAATTTTACATCAGCCTTTTAATTTCCAGATGTTGGAAACTGAAAATATAAACATAAAAAGAATTGGGGCACACAATGGTAGTGGGAAAATGTGGCATGTAATGACTTTTTATTCATTCACACTCAATGCAGTGG